TTTTCTCCTGTTTTTTTCCTCCAACTTATTTGGGTAATAGGATGTCAACCAAGAAACCAAAACTATGAATGTTAATATTACCTTTATTACAGTAAAAGGTTAAAATAATGTTGCAAGATTAAATATACTGATCTCCACCCATTTTATCTTTGTGAGAGAGGATCTTCTGTGAGACTTTTTTTTTTTCCAAATTATTTTTCTGTGCCGGAATCAGATTTCTTTTATCAGATTGTTGTTTTGGTTGTGGCTCTTCCGCCTGTTCCTCAAAGTTATTTTTTCTGGACTACCTCTGAAGACAAATCATGAACTTTAATTGGCCCTAAGTGCAGTGGCTCATCTACTAGGCATTGATAGAATATAGAGAGTCAGGTAAGACTGGTGCTGTAGTTGTAGTATAGGTTATTGATTTCTTTCTGGGCCTAATTCAAAGTGCTGGTTATCTCTAATGCCCCACATAGTTTGGGTTACATGTACCAGCAGGATCATCTCAGCTATTAGATTTGGCATGTCCCACACATTCTTCTCGGGAGGGCTTGTTGAGGGTCCCCAACCCATTTGAGCTTGACATCACTACTCAATTTTTGGCATCACACAATGGAACCTCTTCCCACAAAGTAAGAATGTCCTGAAACTCCTACTTGTAGGATGCTGCTTAAAGTTGGATTTGTCTTGCTTGAGTCTGCAGAGATGGAATATGCTATGTCTAGGATGAGGAGAAATCAAGAACCTTGCAGGTTATTTTTAATTAACTTTGTTCGGTCAGTGGATCTACATGATCAAATATGAGTTTTGTCCTGCCATTGGAGAAACTCTGAGCTTGGTTATATTCAGTGGTGGGATTCAAACTTTTTTACTACTGGTTCTGTGGGTGTGATGTGGCGGGCGTGACAGTGGAAGGATACTGTAAAATCCCCATTCCCTTCCCACTCCTGAGGGAAGGATACTGTAAAATCTCCATTTCCACCCTACTCCAGGGCAAGGATACTGTAAAATCCCCATTCTCTCCCCACCTCACTAAGCTCCATTCCAGCTCTGTTCTCCTGTGCAGGGCAACAGAAGAAGACCCAGCCAATCAGCTGAGATGCCGATCAGCTGGGACTCGGGAGGCAGTGAATATATCAGGGGCGGGGCTAGTCAGAGGTGGTATTTGCTGGTTCTCCGAACTACTCAAAATTTCCACTACCAGTTCATCAGAACTGGCTGAATACCACCTCTGGTTATATTGCTCCACACTGGAGGAAGCAACAGCTCTATTCGTTGGGTGAGCTGAGGTACATCAATCCTACCCATCCTTCTTTCCCAACCTCACTAACACCTCCATGGCTCTCTACCCAGCCCTTTTGTTGGTCCTTCTGGTTTACTTCTGACTGAGCACCATTCTCAGAACAATTATGTGATCGTGTTTTTTGGGATTGCAGAATTTACTGCATGGCTCAGAGATTAGGGAGATGTGGAATCTGGAAAAACCCATGATTAGGCTGAAAAAGAGAAAGAAAAGAGCATGGCATGGGGTAATTCACAACGGGTTGGATGGTTGTTGTTTTTTTTTTGTAGTCCAAGGTATAACTATGGGAGAAGCTACATTTGTTAAAATTCTCCCTGAGGAGCACTGTTTAGAGTAGCCTCAAGGGTCAAGCAACCCTAGAAGGATGGTAAAGTGACTATGAGTCTGACATGAAGGACTGCTGCTTTGGAGCAGAGCTGTTTGCATGCAGACAATCCCAGTTTAAATTTCTGAGTTCTCCAGTTTCAAAAAAAAAAAAGGCTCAGAGAGGTCATGGGAAAGATTATCTGGTCAAAATCCTGGAGAACTGCTGCTTGATGGACAAATAGTCTGAGGTGGTATAGAGTACAACAATACTTTTGGGAGGAGAATAGAGAGCATACCTCAGTCTGTTTACTCTCATACCATCCTACTCAAGGCATGAACATCTGTTGGTAACTGAGGTTTTTTTTTTTTAATGGCATTCCCTCATCAAGTTGTTTTTGTCTCATTCCCAACCTACCCGTTCCAGTTTTAAAGTAGTGTTTTCCCTATTCTCTGGACACCGTTTTTGAGATGGATGTGCTCTAGGACGCTTCAACAATGAAAGAGTTGCTGATGGAGAAGGATGGGCCCAGCTTCGATTCACCCGTGTGGGCTGCTATATTTGTTGGCAGTGCAAAGGATGGCAATCCTCCCGCAACCTCCCTTTGCAGGCTCTTTCTCATCCAGTTGATGGAGACCAACCTGCATGGCCGTTTTGGCGAGGGCTGCAAAAGAGCCAAGAAATTTATCATTGGGAGAGGCATTTGCCCACAGAGTCCTTGATTGTCACATGTCAAAGTGCCTATCAGATCTTATTTGGGCTCCTTACTGACAGGAGCTTGATACTCTTTTGAAAGACACTTAGACCTGTGTTTTAAAAAAAATCAGGGTCAATACTTTGCACAAATTCTGTGCTCCCCAGAAGATTTCTTTAAACTAGAAAGAAGTGTTAGGTAAGCTCCCCGTTGGGAGAGCGAGTGCGTTCAGAGAAGCGTTGTGAGAGTTTTGTTGGAGAACACACAAACCAGCATACAGAGACACTGCAGTTTAAATAGGCTTTTACTTTCAGTGAAATAGAGGTATCAGAGTCCATCAAACAGTCCAAGTCATACACAGATAAGACAGTCAGTCATCAATGTCTTTCAGTTAAGGGGTAATCCAAAGAACATAGTCCAGTATCATATAAACAGTCTTGTACTCAAAGTTTGCTAACAGTTGCAAAACTTACAATAGCTCACAGCACTTTCTAACAGCCAGCTTCCAAAAACACTCAGGTCAGATCAGCCCAGCATCTAACAGAGAGCTAACAGTCATTCTGGCTCCCTCTTCTGGCCGATTGAGGAAAACAGCAACCAATCACATTTTACAGTATGATTTAAAGAAACAGGTACAGCATTGCTACATGATTTATATATTGCCAACCCAACCGTTAGATTATATTCCTAACAAGAAGGAACCATATTCTGCAATTTGATAGCAATAGCACTTAAACTTACGTACTGCTTCCGAGTGCTTTACATCCCTCTCAAAGTGGTTTACAGTCAGCATATTGTCCCCAACAACAATCATTTTACTGATCTCGGAAAAATGGAAGACTGGGTCAACCCTGAGCCAGTGAGGATTGATCCCCTGGCAGTCAGCAGAATTAGCCTGCAATACTGCATTCTGACCACTGCGCCACCAGGGCTCTTGTTGTTGCTGATTCCATCACAACAAGGCCCATTATAGGTTCTCCAGTGATCGTGCGAAGAAGTGTCTTTTGGTTTTGGTGGTTGGACTTTGTAGTGTTTGTACTGTTGTACTGTTTTTGTACTGTTTTTATTATTGGGTATGAGGTGACGGGCATCACTTTAGGGTCTATGACAATTCACCACGGCCGACTCACCATTACCAACTTGCCACCGCCAACTCACCACAGCTAACTCGCCATGGCTAACTTGCTGCAGAACAACTCACCATGGCCATCTCGCCACAGGATAACTTGCTGTGAGATAAGAGTTACACTGATAGCAAAGAAATGGTGGGATAGCATCATTAAAGAAAGGATGCAAAAGGAAAAGCAGAATAAAATGTGAATGGCAAAATTTAAATATTTTTTATTTATATTAAATAATTAAATAGAATTGTTATTGTCCTGTGGCGAGTTGGCTGTAATGAGTTGGCTGTAGCAAGTTGTCCCATTGTATTCTGGCTCTAAGTACATTCATGGGCTGTATCCAGGTTTTCTTTGCCAGAAAGGCAGAACTAGACTCATTGCCAACATCGCCATTTCTATAAGTTAAGGATAGAGTTAGCTTGTCAGTCATTCCTTCCTGCTGCATCCCATCATCTTCTCTTGGCCAGTTTCTCAACACTGTCTAGGAATTTGTTTTTCTAGAAATAGCCAGGCAGATCCCACCCTCTGTACCTGTTGACAGGTGACTAAGCATACCATTCCAGACCATGCACGCACACTTGTCCAAATCCACTCTGTCCCATATTAGGAAAAGTGTATTAATGGTTGTTTTCCTGCTGCTCTAAGTCAGAAGGGAAAGTTGTCCCATTAATACGGTAAGGAAGCAACAGTTGCCACCCTTGTAACCACAGCAGATTCAGGCTCAGCAATCAGAGGAACCAATTTGATGCTGTTATTCTTTTCAGTCATCAGAAGACAAGCAGAATACATTTAAATGCAGCTGTCTGCCTGTTCCTTTAGACTGGCTCAAACTATCAGCTGTCTTCATTGTCTCTAACCCTTTGCTGCCATTTAGCGGTTCCCTGGATTTTTACAGCCCAGATGTGATCATCTGAAACAAAAGCAATATAGCAGTTGAGGCTTAAGAGAGAAGGTCAGTCTGTAGGAGGAAAAAAAACAAAGAGTTGGCAAAGCGTCTGGAGATATTTTGTAGGAGGAACAGGCCACTTTGTGCCCTCCAGATGTTTTGGATTATGGCTCCCACAAATCTTGCCACTGGCTCTCCGGCTGGATCTGATGGGAACTGAAGTTCAAAGCAGCCACCGAGTACTCTGGGTCACCTTTCTCCTGCTTTCATTTCCTTCAAAGAGGTGGAAGATCTGGATTGTAGGCACTACTCTGTCTTCTGGGGAAGAGAGGTCTTAGAACAACACTCCCCAATCTTCACGGGCCGGCAGCAGTAGCAGTGGCCGAGGGGGGAATGGTTTTGCATGTGCAACCTCACTCCTGCGCATGCACAAATGAAGCTTCGCGCACTCTCCCGCTGCTTACACTGCCCGGTACCCAATGGGTTAAGGATCAGTACAGGTCTGTGGCCCAGGGATTGGGGACCGTTGTCTTAGAGTCTATCCAGTATTTCCATTTCTATTGTATTGCCTAAGTCAATGGTAACATTTCAACCGTTACTCTCCGTAGTCTTTTCTGGAGATATAAATTAAAGCCTTCCCTTGAAGGAAATTGATACGGTGAATTAAAAATACTCTTTTCCATCACTTTTCTCTCTCTCTCCTCTTTCAGCTGTGAGGAATGACCGCAATAAGAAGAAAAAAGACGTGAAAGAGGAAGTGGTGGTAGATAGCTATGAAATGACACCTGAACTGGAAGAGCTCATCCAGAAGGTCAGCAAAGCGCATCAGGAGACCTTCCCATCTCTTTGCCAGTTGGGCAAATATACTACGGTAAAGACTGTAAGCTATTCTTTTGAGAATGTAATCACTCTATAAACTGCAGGGCACATTAGAAGACCCTGGGTACTTCTAGCCTTGGCTGAACCACAGAGTCACATCTGACTTGTGGGACTTAATGTTTTGTTTCACAGCACATTATGCTGGTGAGCTAAACCACAAAATTGAAGCCTCCTGGGTTGTATGTTTTCCTCCCCATCCTCTGCTAAGCCACAAGGAGGAATTTGGAAGCTTTACTTCTATCTTATACCACCACAACATGCTTTGTCATCAGAAATCTGAACAAACCTGTTAATTTTAACTCTAGTTAGTTTAAAACTTGATAAAAGGCAGCCACGGAGATAGGACAATGGTCAGAATAGCAAGACAAAAGGGAAAAAGGGAAACTGTAGCCAAAGTTCAAGCACTATTTCTTATTTGTTCAAGATTAATCAATAATCTATACATGCATACTCATCCCATCATGCTGATCCCTTTCAGGATAAGCAATGTTTTGCAGAACATGAGTTGCAAAGATTAAGAAATAGAAAGTCAAATAAATTAAAGGCATGCCCATACACTATTCCATACACAGTTTTTTGTTTTATAAATTTTCAGCTTTCTCTTTTGAAGAATCCTGTCAGTTCCATTCCGCTTACTTTTTCACTTTCTTTTCCTCTCAAACTGTTCTGCTCCCTTCATAATCTTGCAATTTTTGCAATTCTATCCATATTCCTCCCTTTTTGTTTCAAGCCACCTCAAGGTACTTCCTTCATATTGGTCTCTCACTTTTGTATTCAAATTACATTCATTTAATATTCATTTATTCTTGACCTCATTGTTTCTTGTTTCAACACACACATTTTTAGAGTCCTCATTTCCTTTTTATTTTCTCCTGACAGTGCCTAGTTTCATATAATGAAGTAGGCAAAACATGCCTTATATAGTGGTAATAAAGCCTCAGTTTGAATATACCATTTGAGGGGAATAGTGTCTGCTAAATCTGAACGTCTGTTAAATCCAAATTGATGTAATTTATGCGTACATAATGCGTAATTTACACAAGTAATGTTGCATGCCATTTATGTAATTGTAATCATTTGTGTAATTATGCATGCAGATGATATAAAATATCCTTTACCCAGACAAATCAAAGGAATAATGTATTTATGCCTTATTTTGAAGGCAAAATTCAAGTGCAAAACTGATCCTTTGGCTCTTAAGTTCATTAAATAAAGATCTGTTAAATTACTGTATATAGCCATTCTCATTGTCACATTTATTTCTCACAGCAGATCACATGCTATCACCTTTCCTCTATATTTACACTTAAAATTTCTACATCAATTTTTCTGTCTTTACCAAAAACTTCACTAAGGTACATGAAATCATCTGCATGTTCTAGTTTTTTGCCATATATGTAACTTGCTGTCGTTCTCCATTTTTTCCTATCACACATAAATACCTTCATCTTTGACAGATTAATTTTCAGATCCATACTTCTCATAACATCATACAAACTGTTCAAGGTTCGCGACAAATCATCATGGTCCTCACCAAAATATGATATCATCTTCATTTAAAAATACACAGTTATATCCCCATTCAGTTCTTATTTAAGTCCATCACAATTCCTTATACATTTATCCACAAGTCCATTAAACAAGGAATTGAAGGAATTGAATCTGTCATCAATACCGCTATAACTGTCTGGTTTGGTTCTATAACCCAACAAGACAGACACAGACGTCAGATAATAATTAGAACTGTAGAAAAAACAATTACTACCAACCTGCCTTCCATTGAGGACCTGTATATTGCATGAGTCAAAATATTTACAGTGAAAATATTTACAGACCCCTCGCATCCTGGACATAAATTGTTTCAACTCCTAGCCTCAAAATG